GCCTTCCAGAAAGTTCTGCTTATACGGCCATGAATACGGGGAAGACTGCAAAAAACGACTTTCGTTTCATGACAAAACAGTACAATTAAGAAAACCTGATGACAGACCACCTCAATCCACATATAACCCAATAATATATTTCGATGCTTGCGAATATTTGTGAGTATCTCCCGTATCCGTTTCTTTGCGTTGGTTATTTGTGCACGTCAGGGAAAATACAATCCGAAGCACAACTTTGGTTCAAGGCCTTCGTTAAAAAGTGTGAAACCTACTGTGAACAAGGATATATTTACAATTTCCGGTTTTATCCTGCATTGTACCAAACCAGTCATCAGTCACATGGTTATCTGCGGATTAACTTTAGACGCTAGACTATTATGACCTGTTTTGGAGAATATAGTTGACACTGGTGGATCCAACTGTTGTTGACCAGTTGGCTGAGCTGAACATTCGGTTAGTAGACACTGCATTACCGCTCCATGTACATCATTACGCAGAAAGTTGTTTCTTCACCCGAGTTTTTTCTGTAGCATAAGAAACCTGACTGATCAACACTGCGTGCGCTGGAGTCCAAATCAAGAGCATGATTTGAATAATCAATCCGTTAGATATCATGGCAAAACAATCAGTCGTACCGGAGGACACTCACCGATAAAGATTTCATGTCTACACGTCTGTTGTTAGACCGATGCTCTTCAGCCTCGGTTTGATTGGCTTACTCATGGATCTAACTTAAACTCAGACAGTGCTAATGACCCCTGAAGAGATCCAGAAAGCTGTCCGTTGCTGAATAGTTTATGACTGAGAAAACCTTCACAAAACTACTTCGTAAACTAAACGCGGAACATCCTTGATACTTTCTAGCATGCAAGTCAACGACTAAAAGTTAACTGCTCAACAGAGCAAGCCACATATTCAAGATTCCATTAAGTCAGCACAACAGCACCTGGGACGAATAAGCTTCATTTTCGTTGATAAAGTCACTGCAACACATTAAACACAAACGAATGTGGTTCGTTGATTTCTGGTGCGCGTTAAGCCTGAAAATACACCTGTTTCCACCATCACGAAGCAGAAATTTATGAGCTAGCTTCCTAAAGAGGAGCGAATTGTGAGCCGGGGGACAACTTCTGAAGTTATCATCCAGGTTTGGAAATGAATTTATAAATCTCTGCAGAAGTACATTTAATAACGAGGCCACCCATGACGTATAAAAAGCAAGTTCGTTAGCCGATCCCAAATGAACCATAAATAGGTCGATAGCGATTGCTAGTTATTTCCCTAAGGTAGGTGTGAAAATTATTATTACAATTAGCTGCGTTTTCTCTCCACTTAGGCATCTCTCCGTGAAGTGATGCGATCAACACTGTGAATTTCTTGGTATTGCTTCCCTAATTTTGAGGTGGGACACTTTCAGACCTTTTAAGTTCACCCAAACAGAACCGTGCAAAACAAGAGAATCTGTCGATCAACTGACAGACGAAACGTAGGTTTCCAAAGTACATTTGTGTGGCGACTTTATAGGAATAGAGGAAAAATAGGCCCAGCTATAGGCCGGTGTAAGACCCTTTACATTGCGTTTTCCTCTGAGGCACTGATCACAATGGTACGCTGGACATGAATACTCCAACATGTGTTCATGTAAAACAAGGCAGGAGAAATAAGGGTGATTTTCATCCAAAAGCATAATATGCGTAAGATCCGATGACAATCATAGAAAATGTAGCGAGTATAATGTACGAACGTGCTTCATTTTCAGCAATAGCAGAGGGCGATGCTTCAGGCTGCACGTCCGAAACCGGGTCCATCATTACACCACGCTCTAGTTCGTACGCTCCATGCGCACGAGTCCACTCTCCTAATCGCTCATACCACCGTCTACAAGATCAAATTGGGTGAAAATCCATTCACAGGTAAATAGAACGAAAGTCTAATCTGTTAGTGGAAAGCGGTACGCTTAGGATGTGAAAGAACAATAGAAGCTGAAAACACAGACTGGGTTTACACAGTTCATCACCCTATCCAAAATGTAGAGCGGGTGCAGCTGGTCAACCGTTTGCAATCACCACTTGCAAGACTCGGCTTGCTGGTTTGCGGGTCCTCCGAGAATTGGGAATTTTTGGGACCTCTTTAGAAGTACTCAAATTTCTAACGAAGTCAACAGATGGCTGCGATCACCAGTAGATGCTGTAGGTTTTTAACTTGAACACCACGGTTAGAAACAAAAAGATATCGAGGAAGCGAGGCCCTTCATTTAAAGGACATTTCTAGCCGGAGTGGAGGTGTTATTAGAAATAGTACAACCGGAAGAGACAGTCTTCTAACACGAATACGGCACGGAGAGCTGAGTTCATGAGACAAATTCACATTCAGGTTTCACGTTATCCTGCATTGTTTCTTCAAGGGAACGGATGCTTTTGTCGAACTGTATTGCATGAACATGTGAATTCGCGTGTATTCGGGGTGTCGCACAGATTGTCTCCCGAACAACAGACGCAAGAAAGATCTGTTGATGTATAAAACTTCGTAACTTGTGGAGAGCTAAATTCCACCATCCTCCTACCTTAAAACTTTAAGTAGGGTCGTCAGTTGAATAGTTTATATTCAGGAATCGACAGAATTATGTGGACAACTTCAGCTTGGCCCATTGAATACTGGGTCAACACAAATACTATAGAAACCGTATACTGAGGGTTCCCAATATATCTAACCCAAGTGTCGAGAATTATCGTTTGAAGGTGGTCCCGGTCTTCCCCACAAAAAGGTTACTTCTTCACGCACCGATTTTTAGTGAGTGATGCTCATTTACAACAAGTACGTGAGCACGTGGCATAAAGCACTACAAGCATCAATACTCGAGAGCAACGACCAATGTTAACGGTTATTGCTGTCCTTTCGTGTGTTTACATGACAAACTTCCAGGAAGTGCTAACACTAGGAATAATTGTGGGTGAAAAGTATGTCCGCAACGTTTCTTATTTTGATGTTACCGACAAGGGGCAGTAATCCAAAGACAAGAATGACCGTTCTAACGGTATGCTTTCGCAAATGTGAAAATGCCAATGAATGTAGTCTGAGAACCGAGCCAATTGGTGGTTGTGGTGCTCATGCCTCGGTCATGCACGAGGCATTACTAAGATACAGTTATACACATACGTTCGCCTAAGCAGGCCATGGAGAAACCATTCAGTGTAAATTGCTCGAAATTAAGGTCTTTCAGGACCATGTTCAAGTCCCACAACAGAGTAGCGCTTAGTTCTAACAAGAGCGTCTGAACTACCTATAGTATGTGGAACTGCAACTTTCCCACAGTTGCAAAGGCTACAGAAATCGAGAACCATGGTACTTCCTTGCAAACTCGCAACTGAAAAGTGGATTAAAAGTGGCAGGGTGTCACGCGTACTCTGATGGAAGAAAATACCAACAGTATTCTCCCAACGCTAACCGTTCCAACAATTCTTACTACTGATAATTCCATACTACCAACTGTATTCAGCTCCGGTCTCCTCCTAAGAGCCCTCCTATGTGCCCATATTCACATGTAAACATAAAACATATTTGGAACTGATATTGTGCGAAAATCCGCACAGAGTGGCCTTTTCCAAAGGAAACATTCACATAAAGCAGACAGTTTTGAAGGTACGGAATTTTCGTTCAACGAAATAACCCCGAAATCGAAAAGAGGACACTTAATGGTTCCCAAAATGAATGATTTAATTCCTAAGGGAAAACATTACGTTGAAAATAAGATATGCTATTGATTATCGCTCTATCAAATACACTGACCCTTCGAATACATCTTGTTATGCTCAAAATAGTTAAGCTATAATGGGAACGTATCTGGATGGAAATAGAGCGACGTGTCAAATTGCAAAGTGAAAATCTTAGGGACTAACCTAAGTAGCGGTTGAAGGAAGTGCTCCATGCGAAAATGTATCGGTAGCCGTTTTTTAATAGTGGGTTTCCCAAACTTATTATTATTATTTAGAAAGGAAGATGTGCGAAAAATATGACACCTACAGAATCAACTGATAAATGAGACGAAATTTAGAGGAATGCGCCATTTTGAGCTAAATTATGTTCCGAGTAGTAAACCCAAAGCTGAATACGGTTAAAATAAGCGGCGCATTTTAACACACACTTTCAAGTCTTATCGCTGAAATTCGAAACAAGAGGAAGTCCAATATTCTGACGCAGATGCTGCAGCTGTCGGTCGCGACGCGGCGTAAGGTTCACGAACACAAAGTAAGTCTCATTTGCTCTTTCCAATGGGTGCCAGGGTCAACACATTGAACCTACAATCTCGATTTTTATACTACTTACAATGTGCGAGTAACTCAGTTAAAAAGGCGAAGAACGTGGGGGCGTGCGACGCTTACCACAAAAGACGATGGATGTTCGGTTTCCCCTTGGTGCCAAGAAAGCCAAACTTCGAAACTCGCGCTACGTAACTGAAAGCATGGGGTTGTTCTAAATATTTTGGACTGTAGCCACGCAAGGAGAATTCCTGCACACTCAGTGGCTAATGATTACTTTTACATTTTGTATCAGTTGTATATTAGATGCACTGCGTAACTTGCGAGTGAAAGGGGCTCACTAAGAGAACAGTAGTAGTATACTACTAAATCGCAGTCTGATAAAAGTTTAAGGTGAAAATGAAGTTTTATAACTTTGAATTCAAGGACCGCCAGATAAATTGACATGAGTTCAATATTTTGCATAACTGTTGGATAGGTACGTACAGTTCACCAAGGCGGCAGGAATCAAGTGAATAAAGGCTTACTTCTATGTTCAAAACTCGATAACCTTGGCTTTAGTGCCCTTAATGTGTCTTCCAGCTGCATTGTGTAGTTCATCGAACTTCAAATTGACTCAGAACTGCATGTAGGCAAGGCCTCAATAGGCCTCGTTATATGAGCGGTTTTGATGTTAATAATCATAGAAAACGAGTGTTTATGCCTTAGACCATGTATGCTCCACGGGTTGAAAACGATTCTCACTTTCAAAGTGAATACCAACCAAAAACCTGAGTAATACCTTCGCATTTCATCCTGATAGGCTTCTAAAGCAGCCGCATCAAGTTCACCACTGGGTTTGGGATAATACATTCGGAAGCCATCACCGACAAGACCAAGGTCCAGTAACTTGCGATAGGCGTCATATTCCTGCCGAGACTCGATTTTGCCAAGAACCGAGTAAGCCTCAGTTAGATCCACAAACCGAGATTTCGAATTGCTGTTCGGAGCCGCGGTATCCGGATGATACTAATAGGTTGTAAGTTACGCAGCAAGTAACGCACCTTCTTTGATAATTCCAAATACGCATTCTTGATTTCGGCCTGGGAAGCTGTAGGCTTGACTTGCAAAACAGAGTAATAATCCTTTACTTTGGTCTGGGTTGCGTACCAACTATGATTAAAGACCATTTAACAAAGTGATGAAGGGAAACGACTTACCGAGAAAAAGAATAGTGATGATTTGATCCGATCGGTTTACATCGAAGGACTGTGAAAGTTGTGCGTAGCATGAATTGCAAAATTTGCTGTGGAAATGGACAGAACATATGTAGAAAACAATATCTGGGTAAATCGGCGGATAAACAGTTCTCCACACGATCACCTAGGAGTGAAAATATGGGGGACCTTCTTACGATTTCGCGGGAGAGTATCACGTCCTCTAAAGCATGAATTGTTCGAGTAATGTAGATTAAATTACATTTCGTGAATTTTGGCAAACGTAACCAGCAACGGCTGTTTGGCACTGAAGGTTTTCCACAACACCATGTTCTGAACCAAATGCCCAATATTATATGAACAATGAAATCCTGAGCTTCAGTTTGTCTGTGAATTGTGCAACCGTTGTTCAGGCGTGTAGCATTTACCAACTGAGAAAGCATCGTTGAGGAAATACGGATGTTATTTTGGAAGTTTTTACAAGTTTTGCGAAGAGATGAGGTTCACTGGCTAGTTGACGTCAGGCTGGCTATTTTACAGTCCGTACATAAAGGACGGAATGCTTGATAGTCCCACAACTTGGCTGACCTAAGCGGTTGAACTCATTAGACACCAAGGTAGATCGTATGTTTTCACTACATTTATGCCTTCTCAAAACCAGGCAAATAATATAGGTCGGTCAAACTCTAAAGGATGGGACCACAGTCCTCAAGTTACTCTGGACTCTTCGAGGAAAAGCTGACAATAGTCGTGTTTATGCTGTTTAGGTTTTTAACTAATGGAATGACTAAGTTGGAGAAAGAGTGAAGATACGATATTAGTTGCGCGAAAGACAAAAGTTGACCACCCGACTGATTATTCCTAATGTCCACAGTATCACGGTCAACTTCAAAAGAGTACCCAAATTCGGGGAGGTTTAGGTTAAGGCCACGAAAGCAAAATTGGCCGTTAAAAATGGAGCGCAGATTAGAAGTCGGTCATTTAGTTGCACTGAATCGCAACCACCATATCAGGTATTCTGTAAGGAGACGTACGGATGCAGAAGTTGCAACAACGAAGATGGTTATCAAAATCTTAGATCCAGTCGAAGATGTTCCGCATAAATTGGAAAGATTATAGAATGTCAAGCTATTCCGTTATACTTCCTGTGTCCCAATCCCCAAAAGTGGTTAATTCCTAAGAACGGGGCGTCTTCACCGGTCTTGAGACTCTAACATGAGCATATTTGAAGGTGAAAAACGTGATAGGACGGTAGTCGACGGCCGTCATCCGTGTGACTTCTATCGTCCGTCGGAGCTCTAGCGAATGTACGGGCTCAGTTGTTAGACATGGACTGGCTTGTCGCCTAGACACTCCAAATATTTTAGTACGGACCTGTTGCACAGCTGACCTGATGTTCGCCACTGATCCTCAACGCAGCAGAAAGCGGATGCGCCAAGGTCCGCGGAAAGTTAAGACGAATGAATGTAGCTAATTCCACATCGAGTCGACACGGTACAACTACCAACTGGCTACAGAGAGAATTCTTGGCGCGGAAACGCATAATTTGACCTCGCAAATGTTCCAGCACTGAGCTGTTGAACAGATAGCTGAGAGCGACGTGTGGTATTTCGTGGAGTACTCCCCTAGTTACAGATGCCCGGACATAATGAAGCTAGTAAGCGAGAAGCGGTTCCTGATCAATGTCTAAACTTTTGAAGGTGGCTAAAGCGCAATTCATAGTACTCGAAAACAGCAGCAGAGTTGAACTGGGCGAGTTATCAGAAAAAACCATGAGCCCAACAGGCAAAACGCTTGCTGATACGCCCTCAGTTGCAATCACATATAGTTGTTTCTACACTTTTTTAGTCCAGCGACGCTCCTCAGACCAACAAGTTCCCTTACAGAGACTACACAAACAACAGAATCACCCCCATACAAACCTACAATAGGACCTAACAAATAAGTTCGGATTACTTACACCGTACGTAACAACACGGTCGAGATACTATTTGGATCAGATCCGTCCGATAGCACACCCGACTACGAAACGACGTCGAGAAGTATATGTAATAGACTGAAGCAGCAGCAACACCGATACTTATTGCACGATAAGTGGAACTAGTGGACTAGTAACAGATTAGACTAATAAACTAGCAGAATAGGAAACTAACGCAAAATTGATGGGGATGTACCAAATGATTTAAAAATTAAATAAGTCAGAGCGCACGTAATAAGCCAGTAGTCAGCATCTCTTAGTTTGGGCCTCTAATTCTTCTTGAACCCTTGCAATTCACTCCTAGAATGCACGTGCAGACTGGATGCTTGTAAACAAAACCGTGAAAACGTGGGGTTTTCAAGAGCATGTAAACCCGAATGATAATAATATATTTGAGCGAAACATGTTGCCATGCTGCTTGCAGAAATTACAGAAATTGCTGCCAAGGTACCCAGCCGTTGGTAAGAACATACATGTATGTATGGCAACCTGGCACTAGAGGACCGTAAAAAGCTGAACGGTCTATAGGATCGGGCAATCGGACAAAAACTATCCAGAGTAGTGATATAACAAAGATTGAATTAAAGAGTGCACAGACAATGGAAGGATAAATGCACAGAAACAATGACTACTTGGAAGCAAAGTGAAAAGTCCAGTTTATTGTAGATACAGTGACGAAAGGGAAACGTAGAATAATGGTACAGTAATAAAAACGAATGAGGTGGCAGGTCCATTAAAAATTTAGGCCCAAAAAGCGGTCACCGTTGAAGATTTCTGGCTTGATTGCCAGCATCCCGTAAACAGGCATCTGGCCGATGGACTCGTTCAGCACCAGTTGAAGGGCCCGACTTGTCAGGGAAATTGAGAGGGTGTCGTCGTCTTAAGCGCCTGATCTGTTCCTTTCCCGAGTCTTCGAATTTAACAGGATATTCCGAATCAGGTATAGAAATATCCCAAAATCCTTTAGGTGTGGATGGAGGTGAGCCGTGAAGAGCACGATGTTTAGAGCATCGGTGAATCCGATTGGCCACTTGAGGACTGGAGAGGCCCAGTGAAGTATAATACTGAAATTGGAAGATTGCAACATAAGGCCACGATTCAGATGCAAAGCACGGAGGAATAACCAAAGGATCAAAAGTCCAACTGCAGACAGTTTTGAACAGTCAACCATCTCTCCTAGGGATAAGGTTGAGCTGTGTTCCCGTACTTTAGAAGTGGATCACAATTATTCTAAGGTAACGAGGTAACCAAGCACTATATTGGATACCAACTGAAATCTGTCAGTAATGAAGCTTCCCTTGTAACATTTGAGCTCCCGAAAGCCTATTATAGTAAGCACGCAGGGATGTTTGTGATAAAAGAGCATTAGTCCTCCTCCCGCTTTCTCTTTTTATGCCTTTCCCAAACCAAATTCATATGGTTGCAAGACAGTAAATCCCAATGATAAACACAAACAGCTTTTGCAGCCGATGACAACCCATTGAGTGATGACTCATGGCACGGTAGCGCACAGATCAGAAGTCTGTTCTGGTAGCAAACCAAAACACCTCAGCCGAAAGCAAAGATCATCTGGAAGAACACCGTGGTACCGCAAAGCATTTTTAATCTGCCACATTCTTCCTATATTTCTGGATCAAAGTAAGAAGCGGGCATCTTGACCTGATTGAATCAAGCCTGAAAGAGGCCCTTCATTACCACCGATATCAGTGAGGCATTATCTTCTCGACAGCGTACACTATTTTTATCCTCCAATGATCGGCATTTTCATTCGTAAAGCTCTCAAAATTTTACAGTAAAAACGATCCTCATCCACGACATCGATCGATCACAGGCTTTCTGGACGTGCAAACAAACAAACCGGAGTGGATGGATAGTGATGTTACCAAGTCGATAAACTGTAGTGCCACAAAACAAGTCATCCAGTCAGTCAGCCTGCCTACTGAGTACACAGGTAGCGGTTAGGACTCGAATTTCAATCATTGCTTGAACCACCACCCTCTGCCCAGAATCGGTATTTCCATCCTAGAAACAACCCCCACCTGGAGCATTATCGAGAACGTTTGTCGTCGGGTTTTTGTCTTTGCAGATTTTCACTGTTTATCTTTATCCGAGGGGTCACTAGACTATGAAGAGACTGTGTAAAGTCAAAGCCGTATCGCTGAAACCAAGCTTGCTTATAAGGTGTCTCCGTGGTGACCTTCAGAAGAGGTCGGTACAGGGTGCAGGTTTGCACCACCTTTGGGGAACTTTACACGCAACAATCTCCCCGTTTCTTGATGACTTATTATGCGCCTGGAAAACCGTTCGAGTCTCTGGAGCATTTCAGTGTGCAGCAGAAGGATGAACATCTGTCCAGCGTTAACCTCGCAGGTACAGAAAAACTCGGATATTTTAGATACTTAATTTGATCACATTTACACCCTTATAAATAGCAACCATTCATGGATTTTCGGATTCTGACGACTGGCAGCAGGAAACCCATCAAATACAACAGCGAAAACGTCTCAAATTCCACTTCTCTAACTAAGGAATTACGGAGAGCATGTTGCGGATCAGTAAGGTTCTCCAATAAAATCAGCTTTTTCGAGAAGCATCGGCTGAAAGGTTGGACAATGTTTTTTTCACGCCAGTTTTTCCGCGGAAGGTAATACTTCTCGTATAGCGTTCGTATCCCTATTTCTGGTACTGACTACTTGATCAATTGTATCCCTAATGCAACAACTGTTCAAGCATTCCGCTGTATTATTATGCATCTGAAAATGATCCCACTTTCTCTTCTGATTGTTGACTTGGACATGTTGGCTGGCTACATGTTTTCACAGCGGGTGCCTAGATATCGATCTTTCAGCTGTAGCACTCTTTCGGTGCCTAGCTACCATGCCACCCGAAAGTTGCACGGGAGCTGGGATACTGCCAGGTTGCCCAAGCCTAGACAGGGGAAGTGGGGGGGGGCAGAGGTGGGATTCGAACCGCGGACCCTCCGGTCAGTAAATTCGCGCTCTAACCACTTGGGCCATCTCGCCCCACCGGATGCCTAGACTGTAACACTATGTCGCGCACCAACCTGGAAAGTGAGGTTTCACTTGTTATATCACAATCAGGTAAAAGTCAGGATGGTGATGCATTACGACTTGGCTGAAGAAGAATTGCTCGCTGTCACTGAGCATAATGATTACTTGCCTCTTTACAACTGGCGCACGAATGGCCAGTTAAGTGACGACGTGCTTCTTTGTTGCGCTCCACTGGACCGACGACTTTCACCTCGCAACGACTACCTGGTGCTTCGGAACCCAAAGCAACTTGAGCCACCGAAGGAACTCGATTCTCCTTGTCTTCTTTGCTAACAAGGGATTCACTGGACGGGTGCTCTTCATCTCTAGAAAGAGAGCAGAATGAGAAATGAACTAAAGCACAGACTAGTGTACATATGAAAAACCGGGGAACAAATGATAACAGAAGTCCGCTGTTGGGAAATAGTTGTGGCATGTAATGCTGGGAAAAACGAGCCAATTCGTGTTTGAGGAGGAACGTTATTCAATACAGCAATCCGCTTTGCAAGATCGAACCATCTATAGCTGGTGGAACCACACACAGCTCAGATTAGTCCCTGTGAGGTGAGACAGCAACATCATGCAATGTTCAGTGTCGCTTGAATTCACTTCAATTGCTAAATTCAGGTAGTGTCCAGAGAAAAATACTGACTAAATGGTGTTGGATTAAACCGTGGGAGTGAGTGTCGAGACTAAACTAGGAGCTAGCCAGTAGTCGATATACTACCGGTCTGGCTGGCATGAGATTTTTCTAGCTTGGTCAGGTTATGCTGAGATCAAGGACAAACTGTTGTGAGGGCGGTCCTTGTGTGCTAAGCCGGTGCAATATAGGTGCTTGGATGACTAACTACGGTTGTACAGGTCTAGCGGGCAATCACCGCCCACTGGCAGCCTCAATCAGAGACGTTCCTAAAGCTGGGCTAATTCTACCCCAGGAGATCGATAGTTTAAAGTAGGTAGGTGGGTAAGTACAGAGGTCAGGAAGTAAGCAAGATGGGAAGCATGGAAGAAACGGATTACTGAATTAACCCAGGACTTATGGTGACCGAATTCTCGACCACTATGCTACTCGAGTCAACCGAGGAAATGCTCATAGACTCATATGGATGCCTGTGGGGTTGGCCAATGTGTCCAAACGGGCTTTTGGTTGTCTACGAATGGGGAATTGGATAATTATGGATTACGCCAGAAGAACACGGCCAGTTTTGTGGCACTACTAGCGGACCCAGGAAGCCGTTCAGCAACAGTGTCACTTCCACAAGGCAAAATCAGTAATTTTCCATTCGGTAGATGCATATGCCCATGAAGGAACTTGCTAGGATCACTACTATATGAGACTCTTCCAGAAGTTGTAGTCCAGTTTGCGGATTTTCTGTCGAGCACAGCTTGAGCCAGGTATTCAATTTAAAAGCGCTAACATTGTAGGGGAACAACGCTGGAGAATTTGACATACTGATTAATCCCGGTTGATTTAGGGTACAAATGGAACAAAAAGTAACTAACGAGTGAACAGTGTGCAGCCCTGGCTCTTCATCTCGTAAGTACTGTTGGTTGCAGAGTGGACTGAATACAGTGGGGCCATAGAATAAACGTGGGTAACATGTATACAGTAAACGTCACATTGATGTTGTTTTTACAATTTTGTGCGTTATAATTTGCCCACCTTTGGGTCAAGGAGTCGTGGACCAGGGGGAAATCCCAATGCTGCACCACGCGCGTCTGTGGTACCTATCATTACAAAGTTGCGGCGGCTAATGCGCAAATTAGCAATACTATGAGTCATATAATACTGGTATCAGTCTAACGGTAATCCCTGTCTATGGAATTTTTCGAAGCCACATACCGAAAATGCGTATTAATGTGGGAAGTGTTTCGGAAGGCACACCTGAACTTTCAAGAGATTTGCCACCTGTAGTTAAACCTTATCTGTCACGTCTTCCTCGCTAGGACGTGAAGTTCAGCATCAGGAAATATCGTTTTAGGTCTTATTATCCAGTATTCATTACAGCGCTATCCGTTACCGAGCCCACAATGGAAGGCCGAATGCTGCTTGGTGAGGAACGCTATGGGTAGATGACTGGTGACGTCACTATACCACCCTTTGGTCTATTGCTCCCTGGCGTACTTATGGTCAGGCGCTAATGCACGTCACAAAATGAAGCTTTTAACCCAGTGAAAGGCCCTTTTCCGAGCTGAATTTGACTACGCTGACCCAGCGGATCGAGGTAGAAAGCAGGAAAAGCAGAATCAGAAGTGCGCCTCTCACAAACCTAGGAGGAGACTCGAACCCAGATCCTCTGCTAGTGGTTGAAGGCTAAACCGTTCAGCACCAACCGGCTAATAAGCAGTGAGATAAGATCGCACTAGAAAAGCGAACCAGATGACCATGTGACGCGTATTCTGAGATCGAGGGATACGTGGAGCTATTGCCTGTCTAACAGAAAAGTGATCACACTGCTGGTCAGCCGCTCGCGACCGAACGGTGTAGTCTTCAGCTGTAGGCCAGGAGGTCGCAGGTTCGAATCGCTCTGGAGATTCGTAAGATTCCCATTGCTGATGGTCTTTGATAGGGATGAAATAGCTACACAGTGCTTCTCGGAATACAGTAACTCTCCATACAGGACTAAATCTCTTAAAGCTGTTGCGGAGATGCGTAAGAATTCACATCAACAAAAAGAATGGCTTTTAAAAAGACAGTACGGATAAAAATAACGAATAAGCGAAAGTAGAAACATACCGGATACCATGATCCTGATTAAGCAAAGGGACATCCATGCTTTCAGGATATTGTGACGGAAGCTGCGTCTCCAACTGCAACGGGGAAACAAAAGGACTTTCAGAGCGTTAACAGACAGCAATAGCGAAGTCATCTCAAATGAAGTTAGCGAACCGAACTTGACCGAAGGTAGCCCCATGAATCGACAGCAACGTACGCATATTCACGTATTATTCTTTAGACAGAGCAGTTTGACGACAGTGAACAGAGACTTTTTGCTGTGAGGGAAATATACCCTGGACGAGTTTGCTCTACTTGATCATGAATAAAACCAAAGCACTTGCGAATGCATCTGCGGTTGTTTGACTCACAAGTTACTTATCCGAAGCAAACTGGGCGTAAGACTTCGTACGTCTTGAATGCTAACATTGCCACTCCACATCAGAGGGCCAAACAAACCGAACAAGATCGAGGAAGTTCAGGAATGAGCAAACAAGCTTGGTGCGCATACTTCCACTTTGACTCCATGTACAGGAAGCCTGACAGGGAGGAAAAATAATGACTGACCTCATGGGTGCTTTTTTAGGAGAATCTGCTGCATTACACCCAGGAAAACCCATGATTAACTTACATCATTTACTTGGTTCAAGACCGATTGGCTTTTTCTTGCTTGCGTGGGCTTCGAGGAAGAGGTAGTCTGAGCCACCGGCACTTCAGGGCGTTTAAACAATTGCCTATCCTTGGCAGTAGGTGATCCTCCGAGTGAAGGAAGGCACTCTTCTAGTTCAGTCGTTCGCTCTCCCGCTAGCTGGGGGACAGGGGCTGAGATGCCTGTTAAATAGGAATGGTATAAGAATATTCAAGATATTAGCAATTCAGTGACGCCACGCAACTCTGCCTTAGCAATCAACTGAAAGGAGCTAGATGGACAAGTACTAGGCGTCTCAGTTTACAACCGTTCCTGAAATGATACTTTACAGAATGGCAAAGTAACATGCAGCGGAGCAGCATGACGAGTGCGAAACTGAACAGAATTCCGGAGCTCAGAGGAGGCTTTGAACTAAATATACAGAGGAAGAATATCTTAAAAAACTCATAAATTATGGTGGAAATTTGCCCTTAGAAATAGAACAGAATTTTTTTCAACAATAGTGTAGAAGAGAACGGAGTCCGGAGCACCATCGAACACACTGAATAGGTTGGAATATTCCAAATGAAAGAGGTGAGACTTTATAAGTCTTCCTCAGGTTCAGTGAGAAAGTACAACACTTCGAAATGCCAACACTGTCTTAAAGCTATCGTAAAACGTGCTTATGCATTTCAGCTTGATTGGTGCGTCGTATGGTTTATACAAGGTGTGCGGAAGTGTCCGGTGACACAAACCGAAATCGGATTTTATCACAGTTCGATGCATAAGTTACAGAGAAGAGATGGAAACAGATGTCACTGAAACTGTAGGGGACCGCGGTACTGCTATGCAAGAATATCTCAGTATCATTAAGAACACACCAGAGAAGTTTCTGAACAACGCCATGCTGACGGATCCCCAGGTTCCCCCTATAGACCCATCCACAAACAGAAGTGCCGTTTTGTTGTTGAACAGTGAGTGCCCGTCTTCTGTATAGGAATCCAAAGATACATTAGTTGATTCGACCACTTTGACCTACAGAGTTGTCACCGAGGCAAGCCATACATTAATTACACGCACCAATAAAGTGCAAGAAACGCATTCCACCGCGATCCCGAGGTCTGGTCCACGTTCGCTTAGATGGACCTTGGAATACGAGGAATGTAAAGACATCCTACCCGCAGAACAAGATGGCGAAAGACAAAATACAACACCAAGAAATGCACAAGAGGCACTTGCTCAAAAGGAATGTTTTCCCCGTCGTTAACGCAACTTGAAACCTACACCTGAAGAGCGAATCAAAGACAAACATCAGTTCAGGGGGCGAATAGCCCAGTAGTTGTAGCGCGAATTTACTGACAGGAGGGTGCGAAATTCGAAGCCGACCTCTCCATCTTAACTTCCCCTGTCCAGGCCTCGGCAACCTGGCAATATCTCAGCCCTCGTGCTTCCTTTGGCAGCTAGGCGCTGAAAAGGTGTTACAGCTGAATAATGTTTTTTTTTACAACTACTGCTGCTAAACTAGCAAATCGTTCAACTGTAACACGCTTCCGCTAAGTAGCTGTCATGCCACCAGAAGGAGACATGGGAGCTGAAATACTGCCGTGTTACCCAAGTTTAGACAGGATCAGTCGAGATGCCGGGGTTGGGTTCGAACCACCGACATTCCAGGCAGTAAGTTCACATATCTCAACTACTGAGTTACTTCAAGCTCTACCAGTCGACGTTGGAGAATCAACTACCAGACTGGAGGAAAGCCGGAGACTAGGAATAGTGAGAGCGGTTTAAGACTCCGACGAAACCTGCCACTGTATTTTTAGTCGTCTGGACAGAATCGGAGCCCGAAGGACCTGTCCTCGAGAGACCGAGTGTGAAGTAAGACGTCGTCTGAGGGATTGGAAACTGGGAAGGCTGCAGTAGAGACTAAAGTACGGCTCAGTTTGTCAACCCTAAACAGTGTACCGGAGGTATGTTGGTTTCAGATGTTACAGTTTCGGTTACATGGAAATGGTAGAGTGCGGAAGAATAGCTAGGAATTGGAGGGGACGGCCGAATCAGTTAGTTCGCATTGTATACTACTCCGAGGAAACGAGGAACTGCGCATTGAAGAGGTTAGCTTTGATGCAAGATCGCCAGTGACTGCGTGATTGAACTATGTCTGCCAGTTTCAATAACCATTGAGGAATGGCTTTTAAAAAGACAGTACGGATAAAAATAACGAATAAGCGAAAGTAGAAACATACCGGATACCATGATCCTGATTAAGCAAAGGGACATCCATGCTTTCAGGATATTGTGACGGAAGCTGCGTCTCCAACTGCAACGGGGAAACAAAAGGACTTTCAGAGCGTTAACAGACAGCAATAGCGAAGTCATCTCAAATGAAGTTAGCGAACCGAACTTGACCGAAGGTAGCCCCATGAATCGACAGCAACGTACGCATATTCACGTATTATTCTTTAGACAGAGCAGTTTGACGACAGTGAACAGAGACTTTTTGCTGTGAGGGAAATATACCCTGGACGAGTTTGCTCTACTTGATCATGAATAAAACCAAAGCACTTGCGAATGCATCTGCGGTTGTTTGACTCACAAGTTACTTATCCGAAGCAAACTGGGCGTAAGACTTCGTACGTCTTGAATGCTAACATTGCCACTCCACATCAGAGGGCCAAACAAACCGAACAAGATCGAGGAAGTTCAGGAATGAGCAAACAAGCTTGGTGCGCATACTTCCACTTTGACTCCATGTACAGGAAGCCTGACAGGGAGGAAAAATAATGACTGACCTCATGGGTGCTTTTTTAGGAGAATCTGCTGCATTACACCCAGGAAAACCCATGATTAACTTACATCATTTACTTGGTTCAAGACCGATTGGCTTTTTCTTGCTTGCGTGGGCTTCGAGGAAGAGGTAGTCTGAGCCACCGGCACTTCAGGGCGTTTAAACAATTGCCTATCCTTGGCAGTAGGTGATCCTCCGAGTGAAGGAAGGCACTCTTCTAGTTCAGTCGTTCGCTCTCCCGCTAGCTGGGGGACAGGGGCTGAGATGCCTGTTAAATAGGAATGGTATAAGAATATTCAAGATATTAGCAATTCAGTGACGCCACGCAACTCTGCCTTAGCAATCAACTGAAAGGAGCTAGATGGACAAGTACTAGGCGTCTCAGTTTACAACCGTTCCTGAAATGATACTTTACAGAATGGCAAAGTAACATGCAGCGGAGCAGCATGACGAGTGCGAAACTCAACAGAATTCCGGAGCTCAGAGGAGGCTTTGAACTAAATATACAGAGGAAGAATATATCTTAAAAAACTCATAAATTATGGTGGAAATTTGCCCTTAGAAATAGAACAGAATTTTTTTCAATAGTGTAGAAGAGAACGGAGTCCGGAGCACTATCGAACACACTGAATAGGTTGGAATATTCCAAATGAAAGAGGTGAAAGAGGTGGTGATGTCAACCCTAAACAGTGTACCGGAGGTATGTTGGTTTCAGATGTTACAGTTTAGGTTACATGGAAATGGTAGAGTGAGGAAGAATAGCTAGGAATTGGAGGGGACGGCCGAATCAGTTAGTTCGCATTGTATACTACTCCGAGGAAACGAGGAACTGCGCATTGAAGAGGTTAGCTTTGATGCAAGATCGCCAGTGACTGCGTGATTGAACTATGTCTGCCAGTTTCAATAACCATTGAGGAGCTGAGTGCCAGCATATCCATTCAGAGAATCGACAGTTGTGAATCCGATTAAGTTTAATGGGTAGTGCGTCCATGCATCGTCGCCAGACTGTCCAACCCTTGTCGCTTCCACTCGACCCACGGCTGGGAAAAAGCTGAGATTCAGATGGTCCTCTGGCATGCGAACATGCATGTGTAGTAACTTGCTAAAAAATAATTGCAATGAGCTCGCATTTCCCGCCAAACACCGCTGCACTGTGGTCAGGCTTTTGAGTCAACGGTTTTGGTTGAAGACCCTAATCGTCCTTCTGTCTAGGTATGGGCGTCCTGGTAGTATTCCAGCTCACGTACAACCATGAACTGCAAACATACAAATATACTAATGCCACATCGACCGTCGCGTGGTGCCATCAGCCTTACTTGCTGCATACAGCAGGGCGGCTACCACTGACGTCCCCTGCTTACATTTCTACCTTACCCCACCCGAATTTGAATACTCTCTCCTCAGGTCTCAACACTAAGACCGACCGTTTTGCTCGCCATGCATCACAATCAGCTACAAGTTTCAGTAACAACCTTAACACTTTGAATTCCGTTTGCAAACACCGAAAGCCTGTCTACTTAGCCGCCTTTAATGTTGGCACACTGAAGCAAGTAGGACAACAGGTGGCTCTTTCTCGTACGCTGGATCCCCTCTGCACTAATGTACGTTGTCTGTCAGAAACAAGGATACAGGACGCAAGTACTGTGGTTGAACTAATTGCCTTCTGGCTCTCTCCCAGCTTCCGGCTGCGCAACTCTGGTGATGCAGAGGCCACTGCAACCGGATGCGCTGAGCGATCGAGCGGAAGCGTCTTTACTTGATTGGACACCCACTGATAGTCGCCTCTACCACGTTTGACGTCTTTGAGAGAATATAGAGAAAGTGAGGTTCATAGTATCCCGTTTGTTGCGTCTGCTTACGCTCCACCAGACTGTAGCTCTGAATCTGCCACAGACAGTTTTAATGACTATCTAGGCTCCCTTCTACGGTGGTTGCTGGTGTCACGAACGCCAAAGAAGGTAGACTAAGCGATGCTGAGGCACGATTGGGTGGTCATATTGGATTGGATACGAGACGCACGGATAACGGTGATCGCTTACTTCAGATGTGGCAATGACAGACTGTTCCTTTGCAGTACAGATTTCCGTGACAGCGGAAATCGCTTGACAACTTTGTACCTACAAACAAATTATCTATGAATCTAAATAGACCACATAGCCGTCAGTTACCGGTCGCGAGGGTCGATCGTCGTATGTCACTCGATCTGGAATAACAGCATGGACTCCGACCATCCACTTGTACGCTGCTGCTTTTCATTATCCTAATTTGCGTCACTTGTGGCATCCAAAATGCATATCAGCAGGTCCTAAGGATGGTTTCCAAGCATCAGTTCGTAGCCTGTTCAAAAAGACACATTCGAAGGAATTTACCTCGGATGCACAGCTGTGAGCACGCTGAGTTGTTTGCTTCATAAGGACATTATTACTGCTTTGCTTGTACTATGGCTGATCAGGTTCGAGATAATCTAAAATCCTGCCACCTAGTAGTAGCACACAGATCGTTACTTCATAAGAGAAACTGGTGAGACCTAATAAAGTAAAAGTAACCGTCCAACTGAAACACACTTCAGATGTATAGCTGCCAGGCCACCAGAAGGAGGCATGAGGGCTGATGTTGCTGATGTTTCTCAAGGCTAGACAGGAGCAATCGAGATGCCGAGATTGGGTTTAAACTTTCGTGTCGTAGCCACTGGGATATCTTGAGCTCCTGGTGGAGCCTACACACCTCTGGCACGAATGGGTTTCTGCCCAGTCTACTACGGGAGTCTAGTATTCACATACGAAGTTCACCGTTGGTATGCACACTAAAGAGAGCTGCAAATCCCTATTAGGACGTGAACCGATAGTTACTTCATTCGAATGTTTCATAGAAGGCCATCTATGAACCTGTCAGACAGCTTGTGCTTTCCAGTGGAAACACACCAAAGCGTATCCATCACGTGGTCCGAACAACTTTTCCAAATCCGGCTGTCGTACGTTTTCTGGTCATGGTGCTTGCATCAAGTTTTCCTGCTGGCTCATAACAGGTGTGATGTAAGTGTGAAAATATCACCCAATGGTAAAAGCTGGGTTCCGAAATCCACCTTGGCTAGCTCCATTACTGAAGTGAAGGTATACAGCTTGAGCGCCGTAATCAAGTATCCATCATTTCAAAAATTCCCTCCCAAGGTCAGGTGCTTACATAATAAGGTCACTTGTCCACTGGAATACTCACAGTAAGTGCATTCGATGCCCACTGGTGCATATTTTGAAGTATCTCATGGAAATAAGTTGGTAAGCTTAAACGCCTACATTTTGAAGGTACAAGTTATCAGAAATGAGAGTAACGGGCGGCTCTCAGTGGGGTGCTCAGATGGTTAAGCGATCACATGTGTCGAATGCCCAGCTGGAACTTGCAGTCCACTTTGATGTGTACATCAACAATGCGAGGGTCATATAAGTTTGTGGCAAATGCTGAGGATGAGGAAGACATACGTATATAGCCCACTGCGCCAACAGTATCGATCGACAGGGAGTTTCACTCAGAACAAAGCTGCGCTCTTCATCACACCTGTTTTGTTGAAATAGTCAGACGGAATCATAATGATCTTCAACACAGCCTTATTCGCATACCAGCACTGAGGAATTACTTGCGCCGTCAACCTTGCTTTGTTTTGGTGGACCGTGTTTACCCAAATGAGCCGCGCTGGCGAAATAACCGCCACTAAACACTAAACATCAAACCGCGTTATTTCTTCAGTGTCATAAGAGGACAACAAAAGCGAATAAACGAATAAAATGTCGTTCGTAATAGTTCGTCGTTTGCGCAGGCAGACAATGGTTATGCGCTTGGATAGGAAAAATAGGGACGGAGCGGACCAAATCGACCAGAACTACCATTTCAGCAGAAAGCACTACCACGCGGATGGTGCAAATGCATGCACTCAGGTTTTGGCGGGTTAAGCTGGCGCAGATCAAACAAGTTCGATAAAGCTATGATATCATTAAATAGTGAAACTAAAACTTGAACACATTGAGGAACGTCATCAAGTTGCACATTGTCATGAAGACGTAATCCAATCCAGAGGATACCCTTCGCTTGAGAAACGAGGTTTGGTCGATCTAGTGGTTGTCCTGTACGAAGAGGAATCAATCGAAATCAGTACATTTTGCATTGGTCACCCTCTCTAGAATCTCACACTACCCTTCGATTTAGAAAATGTTGCACCATAATTACCAACTCTGGTTAAACGGGCTATCCTATCTTTTGGTGCGATACGGTTGACTTGTTAGGAAAGCGGTTTCGGTTCCGACTGTCAGTGACAAACTCAGGTCTCAGTGAAAGTATGAGTAAGCGTAAGTCCGAGGATCTGGGAACCAGGGAATGGACGGTTTACTAACCACAGACCTTACGCATACGAACAAGTAGGTATGCTTTTAGTTTGCAAACGTCCGATGTCCACTTCGAGCTTAGGAACATAAGGCAGATATACGAGTGGGAGTCGATAGCCTCTGTTTGGATTCGACCGCTTTGTGTGCTTCTGAGTATACTCGATGGACACCAGTATGCAATCCCACACTGATCCAACGGTCTTACTTAGTGTTCGCAGAACTGATTATACATGCACACAACACAACACATCTCGGATCCGAAAAGCAGCACTATCCTTTGCTAGAATCACCTCCCTGATGAAGAACTTAATTTTAAAAATGGAAGATAAATTCGAGAGCAGACAATATCACCAACTGACAATTTTTGAACCCAGGAACAGCTGTGATTTTCCGTTTGCCTTGACATTCCACTGAACTAATATTCAACGCAGTTGGCTTGAGTAACGTTTGTGAAAAACGATAAATCAACCGACTGTTTGAAACGCGGAATCCTCGGCACATAAAGTTTGTTTGTGGTAAGCGTCAGTAGCAGATGATGATTACACTGAATAATATCCAGAAGTCTACCTCCAACAGATAAAAAACGGTTACATTATGGTGTACAACTTAAAGATTCAGCAGCGAACAATCTGAAAGAAGACTGAGCATACCAGAGTTCATCTCCGGTTTGACTTCTGGAATTCGTAGCGAGTATTCAGATTCGAGGAAATCGGACGGTAGGGACGCGTCAGCAGTCGTTTCATCAAGATCTTTCCGCTTATTTCTCGTAAGCGAATGCCGCTTGGAAACCTGTCGATGCTTAGCTCGAACCGTCCGACGATTTTGATGGGCCCGTAATGCCAATCCACGATGACGCTGAAGGAGCTGAGAGGCCACCATTCTGGAACGACTCCGACTAGAAGGTGGGCGTCTGAAGACAAACTTCGAGGTCTGTTGTTGTATGTCCATTGATAACGTGATTGACTCCTGCTCACTGTAGGCGTAGAAATCACATTCAACTTGTCAAACATGGGACTTAACGTGACTGGTCGGGTAAAATCATTTAAGAAAGGTGCAATGCAGGGGGATAGTACACCGCAAATAGTGAGGGATGATTAACTAAGCGAAAAATTCTGTGCTATCACCGCCTCAATTACTCCAATTTTTGACGCCAATTGCCGCCTTCACATTTTAACTGGTGATGGAAACTAGCGGAACGACCAGCGAACATTAGCCGGGAAAATGAGAGCATGTGTACCACTGAGATCGGTTGTGTGCCACGTGCTAACGAGCAGTGAGACTAATCCGATTTAATTCGAGGGCTCACAGTCGAACAGATGGAGTTATGAAAACTCACCGCAACAGGGTACGAGATAGATATAAAACGGTTGTATTGATATCAAATCGAAGCAAGAATCCTGATAAACAATGAGGAAACACCAATATAAAAAGTCAAGGTGTTTTTTAAAGAAATCAGAAAAGAAAAAAATACGGATCATTACATTCACAAAAAGCCCTCAAAAACCTACTCGGCAGTATCTGCGCGCATATAGGGAGCTGTGGAAGCAACGGAGTCAAGCCGCGTAATTTCAACAGCAGCCAGATCAGAGTGATTCACTGCGTTTTCTATGGCGAATGACGCATCATACTGCTGAGTTGGAGGACTAAACTCAGTCATTCTAAAAGCCTGACCTTTCGGAGTGGCTGCCGGTTTCTTCTTGGATGTAACACTTCCAACAACAGCACTTGGCTTCTGGAGAGGAGCTGTGAATCGAACATAAACGATTATCAAGAAATATCACTACACTACACTCATTACATTTAGTAATACGGGTCTAGATATAATGGTGAGGCACAAACAATTAGTAAGCATAGAAATACGAGTGTCGTTTAGCACACTACTTATCTAACTAATAAGCAATTCTCAAAAAGGCCTGAAAAGTTTTAGGCAGTAATCAAATGTTACAGTAGAGATGTAACTCAATATCTCATACGAGACCTATCGTCCTTATTGTGGCTCATCAGGTGGACGTAGACAAGAGAAGTCGTGAGATCTTCTCGTCAACAGTTTCAGGCATACGCAGTATCATCATCAACTGACTATATCATGGGGATAACAATCCAAACCTAAGGCCTACTAGTTATCGGGTCATCTGCGAGAAACGCTGGTCAGTTATGTGAATAACCATAGAAAGGGTTTATATCTTCCTGGTATCAATGGCCAGAGCGAATTAGTCAGTATTTAACCAGTACCGAAACACGTGCAAGGAGCGAACGAATTTGTTCGATTACAGTGACAGCCGTCCCACACAAAAATTTCATTTCGAACTCTGGTTGAAGTATCAAGTTTTCACAGCATTTTGAATCTAAGGAACTTGCATACCGCTAAGTCAGTCAGATGTATAAGTTCAAAGTGGCGTGCTCACACAATCAACATTGTCAGCTGTAATAACCATGTGCTTGTCGCACAGTGGTTGTAGCTGCCACGACCAGATGTCTATCGCAAAATGACGAAAAAGTTTCCAAATAGGGATAAAAGAGGCTTGAATTTACGAGAGCAGGACTGGGGGCGCATGACTGGATCATTATGAAATCCGGAAGTATCACTCAACCTGTGAGAAGTGGAAACCTATGGTCTGTAGACACGCTGGAGTCAGTTTATCGGGATCTGGTTCCCATAACAGATTATAATGGACCCAAGCGTAGTTTTCGGTAGCATCTACCTGTCTTTTAACTCTATAAGTATCGATTCCAAAAGAGGGGAGACAGTAGTTTTCGACTGATTGCCAACCACTAACAGCAGTCGGCGGTAGCATCGGAAACATACACGGTCAAATGTATATAGACCTGGAATGCAAACTTTGATGGTGCATCAGCCATCCTCCGTCAGTCGGATTGCACGGTATCCAGAGACTGAAAGATCGGAGATATATGTTTTTTTTTAATTCTGGATGAAACACGAAATCTAGAAATAACGATCAGCTATCGGTTTGAAACCGCCTATTACGAGTCGATCGGCACCGGGTCATTTGATGTGGATCATGTGACTGAAGGATGGTTGCGCTATTTAGGTACGAGTTGATCATACTGCCGATTAGCCCACAGCGGCTGAATGGTATACAGCTCGGTTACTGACCGAAAGCTCGCGGGTTCCAATCTTTCCAGAAACTCATGAGATGAACATAGTTGATGGCTCCCATCAAGCACCTGTGCAGTGCTTCTGGGATTCTTAACACAAACTGGTTTGACCTGCTGGATGTAGTTTCATTCCAAATAATTGTAATTTAACTTCAAATTCACGATATTAAGGCATATATCAACCAAGTCAAAGGATACGCAGTGAACCACCGGCCTACTATGATACACAGTATCTTCCGACGGTGGCCTTTTTCTAGCACTGGTTATGGAATCGCACTAGCTTCAGTAGATTACCGCATTCATTTACGGTAATAGAGATTTAATGAGGAGGCAAAGTCAGCCAAGAATTTCAGAAATGCTCGCTAAAAAGCCACACACAACCAGTAACGCTTGTTTATGAAATGGGTATCTCAGATTTACACCTCGTTCCCTAGTTCGGCTAATTTCGCTTTCTCTTAAAACTTACATAGGGGTAAACGTACCCGTAAATCTCGCCATACGTTTACTGCAAAAGACACCAGCCTGACGTGATCACAAAAAAGGAAGCATAATTTCGCATCTAAGCCACTGCTTTGTATGAGGATCCAGTAGACTGAAAAATAGGGGCCAATTCAACCGAGAAAATAGTGCAGATGTTAACCGGTAATAGATTGTGTCGTACTAAATACTGGAATTACTGCCAGCAGGGAAACACTGGACGATTGTTAATATACAGTTAACAATGCCCACCTGGTGAAACACTATCTCGTTTGGCGGGTTTTTCGTGGAAGTCATCATCCACTTCATCCAAGGACTGTGCATCACGGACTAGGACTATCGGAAACGAAGGAATGACACCAAGAGATTCGCGAGTACAGTGTCGTTTCTGAGCTGGTTTTGTATCCCACCGAGGAGGAAATGCGTTACCCAGACCCCTCCCAATGGCAGAGGAGACCGGAGAGGAGGAAGACAAAGATGTCTGGAATGCAGAAGAGTTACAAATGAGGCATCATTCCTTTGCTAACAACAGAAGAGATACGGGTCACACCTAATATTCCGGAAGTGACTAAATACCCACGCACCTCTGAATCAGGGCAGTATATTTTTGTGTACGATTTATTGATTTTAGTGGGCAACCTCTCCAACATATATATATATATATATATATATCGTTCAGCTGTAACACTCTTCCGGTGCCTAGCTGCCATGCTACCAGAAGGAATCACGTGGGCTGGGATACTGCCAAGTTGCCCAAGCCTAGACAGGGGAAGTCGAGAGGCAAGGTCGGGTTAGAACCACGGACCTTCCGGTTAGTAAGTTCGCGCTCTAACCACTTGAGCCGTCTCGCCTCTCCTATGAGTAGACGCAAACAATCAGTCGAGGCTATGTTGCCTCCAGATGTACTTATTGTGTACCATTGTGTGGCTGAAACCTTCAGTAAATCCGCGCTCAAACCACTGAGCCATCTCGCCGCCACATAAGTGTTGGATCGAGTAGTGTGGGACATTTCGGAATCGGACGACACCTCTACGAGGTTAACAAGGATGCTGTGACCTCACTGCGCGGCTGCAGTGGCGTGTCTTTAAAAATGGCGAAGAATCTCCAACTCCACAGCTTTTCAATTGAAACTGCAAGTGTCTCTTCAGTCGGCTCTCGAAATGTCTAAAAACCAAAGGTCTTCTCCATTTACAACAAGTGAATTGGCGCTGGCGAATGTCAGTCGGTTTAAACGATCGGTGAAGACATGCTGCTGAACGGTCAGGCCAAAGAAGAAGTCACGATCCGCTTGGATAACACCCACAGAACGTTCCTATAAAGGAGTGTCTGAGTTAATGGAACCTGGCCGATGAGTCTCAGACCCCGCAACATCCATAAACACACGTACGCTCCTTCGAAGCCTCATCCTAAGCTCATCCGAGCTACATTTACCGCCGAACCCATGACTTAGTAGGTTCAGCCCTAAGCGACGCATACTCGCCGCAAACTCCAATTGCTTACAAACAGAACATCCCCACGTCGTGTGATTGTATTCTGCTACTGATCCTGGGGGCGAGGTGGTTTAGAGGTTGCAGCGCGAATTCACTAACCGGAAGGTTCGTGGTTTCAACCCGGCCTCTCATCGCGACTTTTGTCTAGGTCTGGGCAACCTGGTAGTATCCCAACCCTCATGCTCGTGGTATGGCAGACAGGGAGGTACAGCTGAACGGGTTTTTTGCAACTGATCTTGCTGTGTGGTCACCTAAGTTGATGAACGGACGCGACAACGTATTCCATTGAGTGGAATGCGGTTAAAACACAGGTATTTTTACAGAATACTGAGACAACTGTTACACTGTCGAGGTTATCTGCACGAGCATGCAGTACTGAAATGCCCCATTTTCCGTGTCGGGTGCAGTATATGTGGGGGTCCCCTGAAATGTAAAACTGCGCACCAATTAATGGCTACCTCCTAGAAGCCTGATCCGGGTGGTGCTTAATTGCATTATTGCCAAGCTGGGTGAACAGATCAACAACCAATTTTCAGGTCACTCACCAAGACCAATCACAGTGAAACTACCGCGAAATCGACAAAACTGTGGTTCACTCGAACTATTTTCGATCTAGGCAAGCTTGAATAATAGCTGAAGGCGTCACAGTAGGCAATCGACAGTAGCTCGAGTGGTCCACAGGTGATCCCACCGACGCATGATTTCCAGGATGTAGGACACAGTTGCCACCGTAATTCATATTATGAGTCGTTATCGGATAGGACAGAGCAATTAATCTCGGAAACTTAAAACACCAAACCCTGGACCCCATTACCGTCAACTTCAGTGTTGGAACGTTGTTAAATCTCCGAAGGTACTTCGAGGCGTTGGATTAACCAATAGCATCGCCGAAGCGTGAACATGTTCAAATGTTTGGAAAGGACAATACGGGTGCGTCTATTGTGCACTGGCTTGAATGGTGGCAACAAGCTTGTCTCACATTTTCAATATCCGGGGTTCGCATCCTGGTGCGACTGAGGATAAGTAATCCTGGTGAGATCCAACATGAACGAAACCCGAGTGCAGTGCTTCATTTTTTCAGTGTGGATTAATCAGAATAATCGTGCAAGGACAAGAGGGCTGGTCAGACGAGAATAATGTGAATGCAAATCTATCAAACATAAACCGGTTAATTAAGATTGGAACAAAGGTGAAAGTGGTTTCGGAAATTTTCATTCATGGTAACAGATTATGTGCCTTAGGATTAAAAACACAACTCGGCTACTTACATTACTTCGTAGTCGTTTGCGTGCCTCCGAGTGTCCACCAAAGTGCGTACGATATGTACGTGCCCTGTGGGGAGACAATTTGTCAGTAGGCCGCCCGTGTTCCTTGACAGTGGAAAGCTTATCCGAAAGTGCAATATCACGAGAACACGTGGAACAGAGTGGCTTTCCCGTGTAAAAGCTCTGAAGTTGCCGTCCTGTAGGGGGGGTTAGTGTTTGCATTTTCAGATAGAAAACTTACGTAGTCCGTGAATTTCTATCTCCTTTCCCTCAACGATTTCATTGAGGCGATTTAACACACTCGAAGCAACTCATAGGCAACGCACATAAACTTACTCGGTCAACGCCTGATTTTCATCCAGCAGACGATCTATCTCACCGCTCCGATCTAGTGTGAAAAGTTGTGAGAATAATTACTGAAACTACCTTTGTCAGCACGGTCAAATTGTTCCCTAATACCTAAAAGATATTGCGTGAACATGTGGAAACGTTCATACCAGATATGACGGACGATAGTTCAGTCCAGATGAGCTGACGGGCGTCAAATAGCGCAGACACTACGGAAGATTGGAGCGCATGAGATTTCTCCATTGAGTCCATTGGTCCACACCCTGTGGGAACCTCGGGCTGAAAGTTTAAAATCAACGAGAATAAACGCTATTGGATGAGGCAGTTGTCGAAGTATGTTGAAAGTGACGGTTGGAGGCCAGGTTGCCGGGGTCTTCCGAATCAACCAATAAGTAGTAACAACCGTCCAACCGTGGTAACCCGTGGATGCAAAGTGTAATGTTACTCAAAGAACGAGGACTGACACTGTCGGGTTGCCCAAGCCGAGACAGTCGCCATCGAAAAGTCACAGGTGGTTCGATGAGGCTTCCAACTAAATTACTGTTGTACGGTAGCGAAGCAGTGTCGTGCTGTTCATGATGATGATAACGGCACGCCAGATGGTTTTAGCAGAAAGGAAGCCCCCGATATCGAAAGTAAAATTGAAAAAACGTGGTAACACCCTATCGGTGCCTAGCTTCCATGCCACCGAAAGGAAGCACGAGGGCTGAGATACTGTCAGGATATACAAGTCTGGGCAAGGGAAATCAAGATGCAGAGGTTGAGTTCGAACAAGGAAGCTTCTAGGCAGTAAACTCGCGCTATTGCCCCATAGCCACCTCGTCCCGCCATTGATGAGTGAGTTACACCTCATAGGTTTTGATGGTCAGGACATGTAGTGCGTGAACCATCTTCCTCACAAGGCTCTTTTCTGCAAGTCCTGTGCCGGATGGAAACGAATGAGAGGTGGAAAGTGTACGTTTCTGAAAGCCTCGGTGAACAATTGGTAGTTTTCAACTGGGAAACGTTTCGTTTTTTTACACTGAAGCTTGCTAGGTCGTGATTAGGTTACCAACTTGGCCGTTTTAAGGCAGACGGAAAACCAATCAGTAAGACGTCTTCAGATAACCGCACTAGATCAGTGTTCAACGTCAATTAACGGATCTTTTCGGTTGGTGTGGTTGCCTATACCTTGCGCTGAGATGGTGGAGTCTCAAATTAGTTCCTATTGGGTTTGATACTTTAATCTTCCATTTCAAGGTGTTTCATTTGACGATTCACCTTGGAAGCCACTGGTAGATTTTGCTGGTTTTGTAGGCTTGTGAATGCTACAAGTCACTTGGAGGAGGGAAGGTGGGGGGAAATTAAGTGCAGTTCAGCTGATTAATAATCCTCCTGATAACCCCGCCTAAACGTGTCGGCTCGATTGATCCAAAACTGTTCTCTGTACACTTGCTAGTTCCATGCCTTCTATTCCATTAGCACTGGGATGCGTGGAGATTGCCACCGCCTAGGCCATCCATCTTTGTGGCGGTGAAATCTTTGTCGACCTGGTGTACGCAGACGACAATGCCCTCATATTTCAAGACCAAACGAAGCACAATAGTTCCATGCCTTCTATTCCATTAGCACTGGGATGCGTGGAGATTGCCACCGCCTAGGCCATCCATCTTTGTGGCGGTGAAATCTTTGTCGACCTGGTGTACGCAGACGACAATGCCCTCATATTTCAAGACCAAAGCGAAGCACAAGCCCTGTTGAATAGACGGACCACCGTCATACCATCTTTCGGAACGCGCCGTGAACCTCGAAAGTGCCAAGTCATACTTCAAAAAGTATAGTCTCTAAAAATACCCTCTACAACTCAAGGGAATTCATTGGAGGTCGTGGAGAATTTTACATTCCTAGGCAATTGGGTTGGCTCCGATGGAAATGTGTCTGATGAAGTCAGTGCAAGAACCCCAAAGCCTTGAATCAAGTTTGCTGGTTTGCATCACTGGTGGCGTAGAAAATCCTGTCAGTGTCCCTAGGGTCACGCCTACCAGGCTGAATCAAAGGGTGTTGTTTTATGGCTGCGAGACGTGAGCTCTGCGGACAAATGTGAGACGTCTTCAGGTTTCCGATCACCGGTGCCTCAGAAGCGTTGCTGATTTCTGATGGCTTTAAAGGATCAGTATATGTGCAGTCCATGGTTGTATGTGGGCTGGGATACTGTGAGGGCGCCCACACCTAGACAGAAGGACGATTAGAGTCCTCAACCAAATCCTTCGGCGAGATGGCTCAGGTGGTTAGAGCGCGAATCTACTAACTGGAAGGTCCGTGGTTCGAACCCGACCTCCGCCTCTCGACTTCCCCTGTCTAGGCTTGGGCAACCTGGCAGTATCCCAGCCCTCGTGCTTCCTTCAGGTGGCATGGCAGCTAGGCACCGGAAGGTTGCTACAGCTGAACGCTTTTTTTGGCTCAAAAGAATAACTGCAACGTAGCGGCATTTGGCGGGACAAGCCGTCATATGTTCCAACCCCCAAGCTGGAGGACCAGGAGACTGTGTTCGTTAGACCATGAGCTAGTGACCAACATGATATGAGAGACTATGTGTGTCCGGGGGACACCCAGTATAGCTCAACGGGTCGTTGAGGTGCGCAGTCACACCACGGTAAGGTCCACTCTCTTCGTGACAGTTTTCGGTTGTGCAACAAGAACCTTTTATTAAAAAAATCTGCCCAGCACCAGAAGCTGCGTTGGTTGGGACATGTGTTGCGCAAACCTAACCATCGTGAGTGCTTTCAGGGTCAACAAAGTTTAACATAATTGGCCTTGCGGATTGTTGTCTCTCGGTAGGAAGCAGTTTGTTTGGTTCCGGGACGTTAAACAGCGCTGGGGAATGTTCCCGGACTGCTCTTATGTATGATATAAGCCTTTACGATTGGTGATCGTCATGATGTAAGAAGCTGCAGGTGCCCCTTGTTAAGCCATATGCTTTCCGTTGCTGCATATACACATGGTGCTTCAGTGGCATTCGAACGCACAAGTCTCCTATAGGACGCAGCTCCTTCCTTCAAGTTTTCTCCGGTATCGCCCGCCTGCGAAAAGGGAGCTTCGCAGATGCGATACATCATTTGTGCCTTCCTTCTGCATACTCAAGTCAGCAGTTTGCGTGTCCATGAAATCTGTGTATTCAGAGTAAGTAGGCGGTATGTCGCGCTGATCGGCGAGGTTCCGTCTAGTAATCTTCTACATCGGCACCGACGTGCCGAACTGGATGTACAAAAGAATAGCAGCTGATCGGAGGAGTTCTCCATCAGCAAACCATGTGCTCAACAATTCTAGGTACGTCAGAAAATCGATTGCGGGCGTAAAATAAGCTAGTGACAGTTAGTGTCTAGGTACAATAATACATCCCGCGCAGTGCACTGCTGTGTTGTGTCAATGAGCGCCGTATACAAACCCGTAGGCTCAAATTTCGAAACACGCGCCGTCAAGGTCACGGACTCACGGATTCACTGATTGATACACAGGATCGACGCGATTATCCAAGTTTCCCGAGTCGCTTTTGTACTTGTCGGTCAGTGGCTGTCGTTCACCTGAAAGGCACAAGTGAAAAAAGTGTAGCAATGCACTTTATGTTCTCAGCGCGGAGCAGTATACTCGCCAGCGCCAGGATTCGCACAAATAAGTGTCCAATAGTGCTTTAAACTGGTTTCTAGAAGGAGCGTGAACAACCGTCGGAGGAAGGTCATTCCACGCAGCTACCACCCGAAATGAGAAAACGTTTTGTCTAATGAATGTGTGTGCTCCGAGCTTGAAAATTTTCTTACTATATCCCAGCCGGGTGTTTGCTGGGTCAACGGTACAAAACCTGTTTGCCAAGATTTGTTCAAACAGAGCGTAAGTAAGTATTAGTTCCCCTCGCAGGCGACGGTATTCCAGGGGAGAGTGATCAAGCATCGCGAGACGCGTTTCGTAGTCCACGGGTTTGAGGCCGGCAACCATTCTCGTGGCGGCCCGCTTGAAACGCTCAATGAAGGTGACGTCTTTCGTACGTCCTGAGTGCACAACTTGGTTGGCGTACTCCAGGACCGGTCTGACGTAGGCACCATAGAGTATGTGGAAGTCCATGCGAGTGATACGGGAGGTGCGTCGGATCATCCGTAAAATGGCGAATGCCTTTTGTGCCTGTTTCTCATGGTGCAGTGAGAAGGACAAGTTTGAGGAGACCCAGATGCCCAAATCCTTTTTGGCATCTATCCTCATGATGTTTTCTGGTCCTTTCTCACCATGCACAACAAAGGCATTCGCTGAGTCTCCTTCAAGTGACATATGGATACACTTTCCTTCATCCAGAGGAAGGTGCCAGTCCAACGACCACTGCTTGGCAGCGTCTACATCCATTCGGAAGGCACTGGCATTGGAACTCCAAGTCCACAAAGGTAGACATAGACTTGCAAGAACACCTGGAGGGGCGTTGACGTAGATCAGAAACAGCACTGGTCCTAGGACGGAGTCTTGAAGAACTTCGGTGGAAACCGGCGCTGGAGAAGGGTAGGTCGAGCCCATCTTCACTCAAAATGTTCTTTCTGGTAAAAGCACCTTAATCAAGCCCAGAACTTTACCTTGAGTCCCATAGAACTCGAGTTTGCGGAGCAGCTATTGTGGGAATTATTTTAATGCCTTTGAGGAGTAGAAAAATATGGCATCCGACATGAGTCCTTCGTCCTTGGCTTGGGTTAAGCTGCCCATAAACACTCCCATGTTTGTTACGCAAGAGCGGTTTGGAAGAAATCCGTGTTGAGCTGGAGATATCAGGTTGCTGGAAGTAAGGTGTATCTAGCATAGCTCGCTTCAGAATGCGTTCCACCATCTTACACGGCACGCTAGTGAGGCTCATGGGCCCGTGGCTGCCAGGCGATAGTCGGTCACCAGTTTCGTAGATTGGCGTGACAATCGCTTCCTTTCTAGCAGAGGGAAGGCGGTCTTCGTCAGGCGACT